TAGAAATGACTATAGACGTCCTTACCATTTGCAACCTGTGCAAGGACTACAGCCAGGGGACGGAGAACGAAGAATCACATTTTGTCAGTGGATTCTTGATAGAACTGATAATAGTAGAGAGTTTTTAAGTAACGTTTTATGGACCGATGAGTCATGCTTCACTAGACATGGAGTGGTAAATTTTCATAATCAACACTTTTGGTCGCATGAAAATCCGCATGCAGTTCGGGAAAGAAAATTTCAGCATGAATTTAGTGTGAACGTGTGGATTGGTATCCACCGTAATCGACTATTTGGACCCTACCTTTTGCCTGCAAGGTTAAATGTTGCGACCTTCTTGGAATTTTTAAAGGCTGAACATGCAAATATGTGGGATGATGTTATGTTAGATTTAAGAAGATTGGCCTGGTTCCAGCTTGATGGTTGTCCAGCTCGTTATTCGAGAACAGTTAGAAACTGGCTGGACGAAAATTATCCAGAAAGATGGATCGGCCGTGGAGGACCAGTCGCCTGGCCTCCACGATCCCCTGACCTAAATCCATTAGATTTCTTTGTGTGGGGATTTCTAAAAGAAAAAGTGTAATAGACCCCCGTAACCACAAGAGATATGCTAATAGACAGAATCAGGAATGCATGTGATGAAATAAGGCCTTATTTGAATAATGCTATACCACGTTCGATCATTCGTAGATGTGAATTGTGTACTGAACAATTGGGTTTACATTTCGAGCAACTACTTTAGATTTTGTATGTTTGTCCTAACTATCCAATAGCATTTTAGTTGTAAATAATTAATTTAATTTGTTAAAAATAATATTGGAAAATTAAACAAATTAATATTCTGTTTTTTGTGTTTATTTGGAGTTAGCAATTATTGATGTGTTTAAAAACACAATCTAAGCGATCATCTTAATTACTTGTAATGCCCAAATCGAAAATGTAAAAAAAATATTATTTTCCCATAAATAATTAAAAATGCATCGAACCCTAAAAATCGAAATATCTCAAAATCGGGTAACTATAACGAAAACTCACAGGAGAGCTTTTTTATGCCGAAAAGTGCGAAGAATCAGTTTTTTATTCAAAAAGCAAAAAATTGCACTAAGAAATAATTTTCGGTCATTTTAATACACTACAGGTACAGTAGAGAGCGCCCTCTAGCGGCTACAGTAAAGCTATGGTTCGTTTTGTCGTACCAAAAAACCCTTGTATACCAATTTTCACTGTTATACATCAAATATTGTACGAAATATTTAAAAAAAACTATTTTAGAAAGTAAATTTAAACCCCCTGTATTTCGGAAGCCACGCATTTTTCGACCCAAGTTTATATAGACTTTATGCATTAATTTTAAAAGTTCTATCGAATCTTAAAGTTATGCAACTATAAACTAAAACACCCTGTATGATGAACAAATTGTTTTGTTCAATATGTGTATTGTTTTCTCTGAAACTTGTGACATAATATTTTTACGTTGTGTATTCATAATCCACTCGTATTCATTTTATAAAAATTATCACGCAATATCAAGACTACACGATTTTCAAGTATTTGGCAGACAGATGTGAAAACTACTACTATCAGATTGCTAATATCTAATAAAAATGACTTGAAATCATGTCAGCGATAGCGACCATATGATGATATTGATATAAAAAGCAGCATTCTTAAATTTCAGCCAATTTAACGGGGGTCATTTGCAATAAGGAATCTGGCATCTCCAATTAAATGAAAAAAGTGTAACAAAACTTAAGCTCCCTAGGCAAATCGAAATTCGTTCTGATAGACCTGTTAAACGATTATTTCTAAGTTTTAGGTATACAAATTCAAAGTCGTTCTGTTTGACATATTTGTATAAAGAGCTACAAGCAAAGATAATAATGATAATTTATTTACATTAATCTACAAAAGGATATTCTAGTGCGTAGAAAAAATAAGTACATATGTAAGTGCATTAAAAAAAAATACCAAAATAAACAACCATAGTATGTTATACAGCGTATGCGGCCTTGTGTATTATAGATTTCAATTCTATTATTAGAATGCAAGTTTTTTTTTCGTTCAAAGTGTGTGTATGCGTATGTTGTAATTCGGAATATCCCTAATCATATAGTGATAAAGTAGACGACGTCAAAAGTTGAGCGAACTAACCTGCAATGGTAACGTCTAGGCTTCACTTTCAGGTAGGCCGTTGGCATCGCATCTAACGCCAGAGCGTGTAGATGACGGCAAAACTGGAATTCGTCTGGCCCATCAGCTTCCGCTTCCTCTGCTCCGTCTGTTGCTGCTGTAGCTGCCGCCAAAGCTGCTGGTGGAGTGCTGGCGCAGCAGGATCGGAAGAAATACGCGACCCGCGTTCTGCGGAGATGGACAGCGACGTCGCCGCCGGCATACTGTACATGACGCGACGCAATTTAAAAAGCCCCACCATCGAGTCCAGTAACAATAATAATAATAGCTTTATTGTCCAACAGTTTTCCATTTATAGGACAATTTATAAACATAAAAAAAGCGAAAAGAAAACAACAAATGCAACACATGTATAAATTTGTAACATGAGCTATTGGTCTGAATAAGCCTTAGCTGCCTTTAGCAGGTAATTAACATTTATCGTAAATATATCACAGTAACATCCAATTCTGTTTAAGTTAGAGCACATTACATATAACAGTGACTTGAGAAGAATGTTTGTCCTAGCTCTAGGAAGCCCGAATATTTTATGATTGCGAGATGCAAACGTTGGAGTACGAAACTTGATCTGTTCCAGGATCATGGGGCAATCAATTAAATTGTTGATCGTTTTGTAGCCAAATATTATTGAGGCACAGTACCTACGTTTTTTCAAAGTCTAAGCGACTACATAGTTCCTCATTACTTGTACCTCTCTCTGGATATGTCCCATCAATCCTAAATAGAACAAACTTCATAAACTTCCGTTGTACTCTTTCAATAGCTGTGTATTCATAGTAAGGGCTCCAAATAATACTACAATATTCGACTTTGGATCTAACATAAGCATAATATAATAGCTTAATAGACTTTATGTTATGAAAATTCCTGCAATTCCTTACTATGAAACCATAAGCCGCCAATGCTTCTGATGCTTTAATTGTTATATTCTTGATATGAAAAAAAGTCAGGCATATTGGAACATCACACGAGGTTTGAACAAATAAGATAAGGATCCTATGCTTTGTGATCTCAATACCTCTGGGAGATACGGCTTAGGCTAAATTAGGAAAAAGCTGCGTTCTTTGGGGTGTATTACGAGGGATGTCTTTTAAGTTTTGCACATAGAAACATAGTAGGTCGCGCAGATCGAACGTCAGTACTGAATCTTAACCTCACTCTTTAGTAAACTTAAATTCAAAGTTTCACAACGATACGTGCAGTGTTCTCACTACAGTGAATTTTCAAGTGTCACCAAGTCATTAGAAAAATGGAACTCAACCGAGAATATTTTCGCCCCATAATTTATTACAACTTTCAGAGACAGATTTGGTTTGGTTTGGTTTGGTTTGGTTTGGCAGTCACCCAGGAAAACGTCGATGCTGTGCGCAAACTCATCATTGAAGATAGACATGTGACATATCGCAAAATTGAGGCGTCCTTGAAGATCTCAAAGACCTCAATTCAAAAAATTTTACATGATGAATTAGGAGTAAGAAAATTAGTTTCTCGTTAGATACCCCACCTGTTGACTGAAGAGCAGAAAGCAGCCAGGGTGAATTGGTGTCAAAAAACGCTTGACTGTTTCAATTCCGGCAACTCAAAAAATGTGTACAGCATTTTTAGTGGCGATGGATCGTGGATTTACTGTTATGAACCAGAAAATAACCGACAGTCGGCTGTTTGGGTGTTCCAAGGTGAAGAAAAGCTAACAAAAGTCATGCGTTCTCGAAGTGTTTCGAACAAGATGGTCGCGACATTTGTGTCAAAAGCGAGTCATATTGCAACAATTCCTCTTAATGAGCAAAGAACTGTTACTGCGGATTGGTATACCATCATTTGTTTGCCAAAAGTCATCACCGAGCTTCGGAAAATCAACCCCGAAAGAAGAATCATCCTCCACCAAGACAATGCAAGCTCGCACACAGCCCAAAAAAGAAGGCAGTATTTAACTGAAGAAAACGTGGAATTATTGGACCATCCTCCATATAGTCCCGATCTAAGTCCTAACGATTTCTTTACTTTTCCGAAAATTAAAAATAGACTGCGTGGTTAAAGGTTCCAGTCACCAGAAGAAGCAGTTGACGCATTCAAAAATGCCGTTTTGGATCTGCCAGCAAACGAGTGGAATAAGTGCTAAACCAAATCATTTTTATTTGTTTCTGTCTTTATTTTAAGAAAATACGACAGCAAGTTACTACTGCAAATTAGATCCTTGAATTAATACGTCTGTAAACGGACAGTAAGAAGTTTCCTTGCTGAAAATGTTTTTTATTCCTACCAAGAGTTCTTAGACTTTAAACTTTAATATGTTCTATATCTGCTGTACTTTTTATATTGTTTTCATTATTTCACTGTACCTTTTTATTCTAAATTTTTACATAATTCTGATCTGCAATGTCTGCATAGTAGTCGTACTACCTAACGTGTGTAAGTACTGTATGTACACTAACACTAATAATGTATTGTATTCTATTGTAAATATCAAAGAACTAATGTAACTACCTCATTAGCACTTTTCAGGCATTAAGAGATGGTGTTATTAAAATTTTGTAATCGACGATTTGTTTTTGAGAATCCATCATCAACTTTATTTTTTGTGTGGTCAAAAAAAAGTACGTTACATTTTTTTTTTATTTAACAGATCAACCTCGTAGGGTTATTAGCGGCGTGGACGGCACAATAATCTATGTATTGAAGTACATGTCAATGTCTTTGATAAATTTCACAAGTTTATCGGTTTGATGCAGTAACACTTCACTGATGTCATTAGAAAGGTGGTTGAGACTTCTGGCATTTTGATAAGTAGAGCACTCCATCAGGATGTGAACCACCGTGAGCCGCTGGTTGCACGTTGAACAAACTGGGGCATCGGTTCCTTCGAAGACGTGCTTGTGAGTCACTAGTATGTGGCCTATCCGAAGAAGTGACATAATTATCTGGTTCCTTCTTCCTGAAGGTAGTGTGAATCGCGTGTTGACATCTGGAGCAATTGCGAGTAGTTTGCTGTGACTGCCATTCCATTTCTGTTGCCAAAGACTGGTTATGTGCACTTTTATTAGTCCTTTCAAATCTTGGTAGGGTGTACGAATCACACTTCTGCTTGAAGGGACTGCCGCTCTTGATGTACGTTACATTTGTTTTCATAGTTATACAGAAAATTGTGTTTTTTATTTTATTTAAGTAAGAGCGACAAACAAATGCTTGATGTAAGATTAAGTGATGACTGGTAGATGCATATTACATGAAAAAAAAAATCTCAAAACTGTTTGAAAAACATCTATACAGGGTGTTTCAGTTTATTGGTGCATAACTTTAAGATTCGATATAACTTTTAAAATTAATGCATAAAGTCTATATAAACATGGGTCGAAAAATGCGTGGCTTCCGAAATACAGGGTGTTTAAATTTACTTTCTAAAATAGTTTTTTTTAAATATTTCGAACAATATTTGATGTATAACAGTGAAAATTGGTATACAAGTGTTCTTTGGTACGACAAAACGAACCATGGGCATAGTTTTACTGTAGCCACTAGAGGGCGCTCTCTACTACCTGTAGTGTATTAAAATGACCGAAAATTTTTTCTTAGTGCAATTTTTACTTTTTGAATAAAAAAACTGATTCTTCGCACTTTTCAACATAAAAAAGCTCTCTTGTAAATTTTCGTTATAGTTGGCCGTTTTTGAGATGTTTTATTTTTAATGTTCGATGCATTTTTTATTATTTATGATAAAATAACGTTAAAAAGTCAGTATCTCGATAATTTTTAGAAGTAGGCTGTGCTTGCAAATACTTTTGAAATTGAAAGCAGAATAAGGTTAAACGTGAATTAGTTGACAGTTAGTTTTGTTGTCTGTTGAAACCTGAAACGTTTTTTTGCAATTGTGAATGCACGAAATTTAGTTTCTTTTACCTGTTTTTTTTTTTGTAAGTTTTATAAAAATGCCATTTTGATTCTCCAATCAAGAGTTAGCGGATATTCATTTTGTGTATGGCTTTGTAAGAAGCAGCCAGAGAATACGCACAAAGATTTCCAAACAGACGACATCCAACTCGCTCAGTATTTGTAAGAGTGCAGCAATTAAAGATACCATTTTATTACCCAACTAACAATTATCACTCCTATTAGAGTTGCAAGAATGATTATGCAGTATTCCTTATACAGCATTGTATACTGTAAGAACATTGGTAAAATCCTCTTAGAACAGCTATACAAGCGGAATGGGCACACCTAATAGGACATTTCAGTCATTTAAGAGGTTGTATAAGGGTGCAGGTAACAGTTATAGAACAAAAGTGTAAGCCTCTTGCAGCCCGCTCTAGGACATTTGCGTCAGTGCAAGATTCAGTTTTTGTCAACTATACAACTATTCTGTTACGTGATTCTACTTTATTGCAACCAAAGTATTTCTTATGTATTGTATAGGCGAAGTGAAGAATATATAACTAACAGATTACAGTCATGATATAGTACGACGAGAGTATGCTCTCGTCGTACTATATCATTTCCTTGTCTAAGTCGTTGGCAAATCATTAATTTATAGGAGTGAGATCTATTTTCACGCAAAATGAATTGGGCTGTGGATTTGGCTACTCTTACATTTTTCTCAATTTGCCTAGTCGATATCTCAGAGTTCTCAGCAACTGCTTGTAAAACACTATTCTCTAAATATCCAAAGACTAACTTTTTTTTAACGAACCATATTTAGTTAAATTCCGAGCCAGCTCTAGGAAAACGGACTTACTTGGCTTTCCAGGTTTCAAACTGTTTCGGGACCGCAAAAAAATGTTTTGACTGATTCAAATGCTATTGGAAATTTAAAAAATAGAGAAGACAGATTTTATAAGTTGACACCGTCAAAAAATACAGTAAAGTCGGTGAATGTGGAATAGGCAGGTAGAGTGAAATAGTCAGATATCTCCAAAACCAGTAGCGACACCTGCACTTCCATGGCATTATTTACTCTTGTATCAGTAGCGTAACTATCTGATACAAGCTGTTTTATCGATTAGGGGGCATAACCTCAAAAAAGTTGGTGAAACCGGTAAACGTGAATATTGAAACATTGGACTGGCTGCCATTTTTTTGTATTTCTAGGAAAAGTACAACTTTGTTATAATAATTACTATTTGTTGTTAAGCCTCAGATACATGCATTATCAAATTATAATCAAATTCAAGCGGATAACCAAATGAAAATGGTATTTACCATTTTGTGTTGGTATTTACCGATCAGTTCAAGCGAGTGTGGTTATCAGTTTGGTTATAAGATCCGTGACGTCATGAATCAGCTGTTATATGTCACAGTTATCACCGCAAACTGTGGTATTTACTCAACGCAGGAGTAGTTTTATATTTCTGGTTATTATTTGAAATGTGACAATTTAGAATTTTGCCGGGTATTGGATATTGTTATTGTACTTCAGCTTCATTTTTGGGAAATCTGATACAGGCTGACTTCAGTGTTAGCATAAAGTGGAGCACCTTATTAGTTATACTCATGACTGTTGTTGGGAACACTTTCAATCTAGTTCCTATGTTTAACAAAGTATCCTGTGTAGCCATTATACCAGAAGAATATTAAAATATGGCCATTTAACTAACTGGATGATGTCCACCTGTATACGGTTTTGCTAATATGTTTTTTCATCATTTCTGCTAAATTAATAAATGTTTTCTTTGACATGCGGAACACTTTAGAGAAATTAAAGTTATCATAGCTACAAATCCATGGTTCCATACACCGTTGTAGACAAAAAAGCACCGATTATTAAGTGATAATAAAAATAATCAGGGATTATATACGCACGTTTCTAAAATAAACAACTTGCAACAAAACCGCGGTTCACACCAACGCGTTCAAGCGATTCGTGTAACTGACGTCATCAATCCGTGTGTCATCTTGAACCATATTATAACCGCGGCATATAACACAGAAATTTTGGTTATTCGTTTGGATTTGATTTATGTGTGAATTAATTATCAAATCTATCTTTATAGATTCTAGCTATAAACTTGAGATTAAGTGAGGGTGGAATGGTTTTGTGGAATATTTCCAAACATCAACCATACGAGTGTTCCACATTACCGGGCCTACTGATTAAGGATACTGAATTTGTTTATGTTTTGGACTATCTGTGACTTTTTATTTCAGAAAATGCCTTCCAAAGAAATAAAAGGACACAATTGGTCAGAAAATCATAGGTTATTCTACTATTCAGTAGCATTCCACATTACCATACTAATTTTCCATGGCTACATATTACACGCTTCGCAAAATTTCATTTTTGCAAATGCATGGACTCAAAATATGCGACCTAAATTACTTCAGCAACTTGACAGAACCTCACAGATATCGGAACTACTTGATTTATTTGAATGCCTCAAATTAGTATGGAATTATAGGCTTCAAATAAAAAGTATTCCACATTCACCAACTTTATTCTATTATGCCCTAAAATTACTGGAAAGTTGTAAAGTGAAAACGAAGTATGACAAGGAACCGAAACTTTCTTATTTTTTGTTGTAACACCTCACCCAATGCACCGATTGTAAAAAGATAACTACCACATAGCCCCATGTCATATACCATTCCAAACATAAAAATCAGTGCAAGCATTTCTGAGATTACGCGGTTATAAAAAGGTAAAAAGGCAGAAGGATGACAAAATTGTTTTTGATGTAGATGTTAAACTTATCATATTATCATTATATCAAAAATTCGCGTCAACACATTAAACGTTAAACACATCGGAAAAACGTAAATGCTAAAAGTTGCATTTGTGACTAGAAAAGTGGAATTTAGCTAGCCCCTGAAAACCAACTTGATTCCGTTTTTTGATGCTGAATTATCTCATCTACTGACTTCCCGTGGCTGAAACAATGTTATTTCGCACCTATTGTGCATCCAAATCCGCTTATTGCAACGACTTGTTAGCAAGACGATCCTGTGAGGCAGAAACTAACAAGCGCATGGCGTTCCCAATAATGTTCTAACTGGATCATTACCCAGTGTATAATCTCGTGTTAATGAGAAACATGGACTAAATAACAGATCGGCCACTACTGATAATGCGTACGATTAAAGCCCGACGGAATTTTTGCCCGAAGCTTTAAACCCAGCCTTCAGTTGAAGCAGACGCCTAATGTTGAATTAATCAAAAGTCTGGTTTGTATTATAAAGAATAAAGCAGTAGAGTAACGAATTTCTGTGCCCTTGGCTGTTTCGTATAAATTGTGAAGCGTGGAGTATTTCATTGAGACATAGAAATCAGATAAAACGTTATTTCTATGGTTATGAAGCTATTACTTCATAATTTTTATAAAAAGTGTTTTTAAAGGTTATTTTTTGTCGAATATGGTTCAATTTACTAGTAGTGAAATGGCAGATATGCAGTTCTGCTATGAAGTGGCTCAAGGAAACTCTAATGCTGCATGCACGACTTTCTGAAACAGGCAGCTTTACAAGATCGACGATTTTCATCGGTACGAACAGTTCACAAGAAGCTGTTTTAAATGATTTCGAAGCAAATCCTAATACCAGTACTCGAAAAGAACTGAAGAACTGAATATTACCAATGTTACACTGTGGCAGATTTTAAGAGACCAGCAGCTATATCCATATCATATGCAACGTGTCCGAGCTCTATTGCTCAGAGATTTGCCTTTAATACATGCTTCTTCAAATTGGTTACGCAATAAAATGATATGAAATCCATGTTTTCTAAAGTGAATATTTTGTTGGTTTGTTTAAGTTTTATTTAGCGCGATTGCTACTATTACATTCTTCTAAAAAACTAAACAATTACATAACAAACAGACATTCAGAAAAAAAACAAAATTTGCATCTCTAAAAATTTTTATTGTCCATGAAATATTCCTTTAATTATCTTTTAAATAGCTTTAAAATACAAGTAGACTGTATATCATTATTTAGTTTATTGAATTCAAGTAATCCTTTCCGAAATATTGATTTGCTAGTTATATTACTATTGCAATTTTGTAAAATAAAATCTATATTTC